CCCCCCCCAACAATCGGTTGCACAGAAAAAAGGAATAATAAGAATAATGATGACCATACATTCAACCAAGCTGAAAATCTGCCAAAATTATTTAAAAAGAAATCATATTCAGTTTAATAAAACGCAATAAACAGCTCATTATACAAGACAGCAGGAAATAACGTGCGAAATGGTCATTCTGGAGCAAAATATACTAAACTTCCCTAGAACCCCTCAAAAAAAATCTCGCAACTCACCCTATTGTCTTCTCCCTCGATCTCCAAGTCATCGACCCTGACGAAGTCCGGATACGCCTGAATGATCTGCTTAACCCCCTTGATGAGCTCCTCCCCGACCTCGAGGAACTGCACCTCGACCTCATGATACTCCTTAGTATTATCAGCCGAGTAGTAAATCTTCCAGCCATCCTCCTCCTGCACGAGCTTCGTAGCATGTTCCCTAGCGAGCCTGACCCTGGTGTCCGGCTCGATCTCCACCCTGTTGAGCACCTCCCCATCGTCCCCCATCCTCTCCCCATCCTCGAAGACCGAGCACTGCAGCTCAACAGGCGCCAGCACTGGTGGCAAAAAATCATGAATATGGCCCTTGGCCATCTGATCAGCAGCCTTGTCCACATCGATCCTCTCAATCATCTTGTGGAGGAGTTCCTTGGCCCTCTGACGGATCATCCTCTTGGCGTCACTGTCCTCATCAGCATAGGCAGACCCCACAGACTTGAGATAATGCAGGGGCATTCCCTCCCTGAACTCTGACTCCTCAGCGATAGCTGTTTTGAGTGCCTCAGGCACCAGTTTCTCCAGAAAATCGCCCCAGCAGTTCTTCTGGTAGACACTCAGAGTGACATGGAGGCTGTGGGAGTCACTGAGGGTCTCCCCCTGGTGGATCGTTCCCCTGGGAAAGTACAGGAGGTCCCCAGCGCTGAGGATCTCATCCAGAATTGGCTCGCCAAGCTCCGAGGGATCGAAGTTCTTGGAGGAGTACCTGGGGAGGAACTCGGAGGGGCTCCTGGGCTTGTACAATCTCCAACGTTTCTTACCCTCGATCTGGAGGATGAATGCCTCGATGTCGTCGTAGTGAGGGGCGAAGCCCTGGGAGCCTGGCGGCGTCAGGTAGACATTTGCCCCAACAAAACAATCGAAAAACTCCTGGAGGCAGGCGTTCAAGTTGTGGAGCTTCGGGATGAATGTCTGGGGATTCAACATTCGGACTGAACAACCGTTTGCGTAGTAGTCCCAGACCACACTGGGGAGGGCTCGGCCCTCTGGGTTGTGGGTCTCCCGTTTTCCATTCACGTAGGCTGTTATGTCCAGGTTCTTCGTGAAGAGGATGTGGTAGCGACGGAGGATATCGTCGATCTGGGGGGTTGACATCAGGAGCTTGTAGTAGCTCGGCCGGTTGCGCTTTATGTGGAGGGGAGCTTTCTCCCAATTGTTCCTGGAAGAGGATTTTATTATTTTATGTTATTTTATTATTGTTAATTCATAACAACAGCAACAATAATAATAATAATAATAATAATAATAATAATAATAATATACAGGAGGAAATTTAAGGGATATTGGAGAAAAGAATAACCACGTTTGTTAATTTGTCATAGAAGTGATTTGTCATTGTCGCTTCTATGACAAATTAACAGACGTGGTTATTCTTTTCTCCAATATTCCTTGAATTTCCTCCTGCATATTTAATAATATGGAGATGAATGTTAAAATTAATTAATAAATTAATAATAATAATAATAATAATAATAATAATATGCAGGAGGAAATTTAAGGGATATTGGAGAAAAGAATAACCACGTTTGTTAATTTGTCATAGAAGTGATTTGTCATTGTCGCTTCTATGACAAATTAACAGACGTGGTTATTCTTTTCTCCAATATTCCTTGAATTTCCTCCTGCATATTTAATAATATGGAGATGAATGTTAAAATTAATTAATAAATTAATAATAATAATAATAATAATAATAATAATAATAATAATAATAATAATAATAATAATAATAATAATAATAATAATAATAATAATAATAATAATAATAATAATAATAATAATAATAATAATAATAATAATAATAATAATAATAATAATAATAATAATAATAATAATAATAATAATAATAATAATAATAATAATAATAATAATAATAATAATAATAATAATAATAATAATAATAATAATAATAATAATAATAATAATAATAATAATAATAATAATAATAATAATAATAATAATAATAATAATAATAATAATAATAATAATAATAATAATAATAATAATAATAATAATAATAATAATAATAATAATAATAATAATAATAATAATAATAATAATAATAATAATAATAATAATAATAATAATAATATGCAGGAGGAAATTTAAGGGATATTGGAGAAAAGAATAACCACGTTTGTTAATTTGTCATAGAAGTGATTTGTCATTGTCGCTTCTATGACAAATTAACAGACGTGGTTATTCTTTTCTCCAATATTCCTTGAATTTCCTCCTGCATATTTAATAATATGGAGATGAATGTTAAAATAAATTAATATATTAATAATAATAATAATAATAATAATAATAATAATATACAGGAGGAAATTTAAGGGATATTGGAGAAAAGAATAACCACGTTTGTTAATTTGTCATAGAAGTGATTTGTCATTGTCGCTTCTATGACAAATTAACACACGTGGTTATTCTTTTCTCCAATATTCCTTGAATTTCCTCCTGCATATTTAATAACATGGAGATGAATGCTAAAATTAATTAATTAATTAATAATAGTAATAATAATAATAATAATCCGGTAAAATGTTTAGTCCCCAATTCTCAATTTGTGGCGTTTATTCTATTCATTCTATGAAGAGACCAGGATAAAAATCGGATTTATGGGGATTATTCCATTATACGAAAAAATATATCGACTTTAAAACTTTCTGGATTCAGTGAAAAATTAATTTTTTTTAAATTTATTTATTTATTTTCTGTGAGCACACGTTTTCTGTACGCACCGAGTAGCCACAGACAACATAGCATGCATGCATTTATTGCATTTAATTTTTTTTTATTCAGCACAGAAAATAAATTCTCTACTCTGTACCACAACTCCCCCCCCCCCCGCCCTTTCGCGCCAAAATTTTTTTTTTATTTCCCAAACCATATATAAAATAAATTACCTGAAGAATTCATCAGCATCCAGTGGATGGATGACCCAACTAAAAAGTGTAGCGGCCTCCTCAGGCGGATTGATGTTATTTCGAATCTCCTCCTGCTGAGGAGTATCAGCCCCATCAGGAACAAACTTGGGAATCCCCTGTTTCTGACTCTTCCCACTTTGTTTATCCCTCTGGCCACCCTTCCCCTCCTTCTTCCCCTTGGCCGCAGCTTTTGGTGTGACTTTCACCTGAGGTAATCCAATCGACACGTCTTCAGCGACCGGAGCAACGGCCTCGGCCTCATCATCGCCCACAGATTCATCTGCAGCAGCTGAAGACTCCGATTTCGTCTTCTTCTTTTTCTTTCCACTCTTCCTCGGGGTTGGCACCTCATCCTCGTGTGCGGCGCTCTCGACGCCGTTGGCCACCTTCTTCGGGGTCGACTTCAGGAGCTCTCCTATGTCCTCAATGGCCACGTGAGCGGAGAGACTCAGCTTCGATGGGGTCTTAGAGGCCGGAGACTTGTGGGATTCACTCGCTGACGAACGTGTGCGCTTCACTTTCGTTGGTGGAGGGACTGTGTCAACGCTTTTGCGACGCTTCGAGTGAACGGCGAAGGCTGACACGAGCTTCGTGTTGTCCATCTGCAATGAGAAACGAAAAAATCATTATAATGAATATCTCAGAATCTACACTGAGAGAAAAACAAACACGTTGTCAAACAAGTCTTGTTTGGGCCAACAAAATCGCTAGTTGAAAATTGCCAAAAAAGAATTTGTTTGCTTCGAATTTGAAAGTCTCAAACATGAATAATTGTTCTGCTTTCGACAGCAACGAAATATTTGGCTCAAGAGGCGGATTATTCACACCAGACGGTGCCTTTTCAGGATGAAAATATCTCATCTCTCTAAGTTACAAATTTGCTATCATATCATTATTATTGTTTCATTTAAGGGTTCATTTATTGTCTGTGATTATTAGACAGCCGAAACGAAAAATTACTATCCCTTGTTTCGCATAAAACAAAGATTTTTCGGGAGCAAAATACGTATGGGAGTATCGAATAACGAAGGGGTAGTGCTAAAATAGTATATTTCGCAACGAGTGCAAAATAGTACATTATGTCATCAGGTGATAAAAGTATTATCTGGCGAATGTGACTTTATAATCCGAGCCGAAGGCGAGGATTATAATCACATTCGTCAGATAATACTTTTATCGCCGTGTGACATACAATATTTTTCGTCGCTGGGCCCGAAAACCGCGATCTAACCGAGCAAAGCGAGGTTAGAATCGCGGTTTTCTCGGGCCTAGTGACGAAAAAGTGTTTTTTGGCGAGTGGGAGGTTTATATCACGAGCCGAAGGCGAGTGATATAATCCCACGAGCTAAAAAACATTTTTTCATGAGTTACGAACAATATTTTTCATCACAATGTGGCGGAAATTGGACTTTTAGGCACGCAGAGCGTACCGAAAAGTTCACTTTTCGTCACAGCGTGATGAAAATGACATTTCTTGCGTGTACAGAGAATGCAATTTTTTTTGAACGACTAAATCTATTTTTGCGACAAAAATTTTTCACTCCGGCGCACTCTCTGCATGTTTGGCACAAAAAATCCTTTTTTGATAATTTTCAAAAAACTATTTTCTTGGCACAAGTAAGACTTGTTTGAGAACTTTGTCGTTCTTCTCTCAGTGTAGGGAAGATAGCAGAGTTTTCGAGGGGATATTTTTTGGAAGAATGACGCAAAGAAATTGGTGACGAACTCAGGTCAAAACTCTGATACATAAAGTCATTCATTTCAGGCTAAATAAAATAGTTTAAACACTCTGACACCAGTTGTTTATAACATTCAGTCTATGCGGAGAGGAATGTCTTTTTCAGTCATGAAAAATGGCTTTTTACCTCTCTTCAATATAAAATAATTCCAATAAATATTGAAAATCGAAGGAAAATTGAAGGTAATAGACTTTTTACGAGTCGAAAAAAACGAAAAATGACAATTTTCGATAGAAAAAAAAACTTCGGATGCATATTTTTATCACAAAAGTCAATAACAACGTGAATGAGAGATTCAAAATCTGTCCCCCTATTTTCCAAAGAGGCACCAGCTTATGGAGTCGAACAATTGTCAATTTAATTTCCCAGATTTATTGGTTGAGCTTTCCGAGATCAGAATATTCATCAATTTTTATTTCAAATTCTCATTGTAAAATGGCATTTTCAATATTTTTCAACGATTGTTTTTTCTGCATTCCATGTGACCTTCCGAACAATCATTCGCATGCAATTATAAATCACTCAATTACTTCTGTTGAATAAAAAATAAAATAAATGCTATTGAAAAATGAAAATTTCATGATGTTTTGAAGAAACAACTTACACTGTTTTGAAGAAAAAAATTTGCAAATAGTGCAGAAAAAAATTGAAAAACATTTGTTGAAACTTCCCATCAACTATGGCACTTGGAAAAAGCGGTGTGACCACCCTTAATAGGTTAGAAACCCTTTCCCCTCATTTTCTCCTCGTGTATATCTCTCAAAGCTACAAACTAACGCTTCCACTTATTGTTCGATAGCTAAAGACAATTAAAAATCCTTAATAATGTTAATTTAACAATAATTATCATCGAAATTCCTCAAAAGCCGGAGACTCACCTTGGCTCGTTTCTGAACGCCTCACGTGTGTTTACAATTCACCGAGAGCTCTTTGTTATCCCAAAAATGGAGGAAACTGCATAATCGAGGGAGCAAAGGGGCATTCAGTTGCTCCGTTCATTATCGGAGCAAATGTTGTCATTTCTTCATTAGTTTTTCGTTCACAAAAATCGATAACTACGTGATAAAGATGGCAATCTGGTACTGAAGTGATTAAAAACCCGAAATTAGTGATGTTTATAATTTTTTTTTGAGAGAATAATTTGGATTCAGACATGGACGTAACCTGTTTTGGGAGTTTGCCAGTGGCTGGACATTGTTGACTTCACCCAGCTGTAAATACCTCAGGGATTTTGGTGCTGGTCACGATATAGTGAAGAGATGTATCCAAATAACGTGAGAAGTTCACTATTTATTTTTCCCGTTGTCTTATTCGTTATTCAATTTTCACTTGGAGTGATTTTTCCACAAGTATTTGATGGGAAATTTCGACAATTTTTTTCAATTTCTTCTTTATGTAAAAAAAAGTGTAGGCATGAAACATCATGAATTTTTCATTTTTCAATAACATTCGTTTTTTATTTAATAGAGGGAATGCAGTAATTTCAAACTCCATGCGTTCGATTTTGCGGACGGTCCTTCAATTTTCAATATTTTTCAACGATTTTTTTTGTGTACTCCTATGATCTGAAAAATCAATCGCAAGGAATTTAAAGTCAGTCAATTCCTTTTGTTAAAATAAAAAAGAATGTTTCTAAAAATAAAAATTCGGTACACAAAATTAAGATTCTGGAATTATTTTATTCTGGAATATTTTCCTTCGTCTCCAGGGAAACCTCACGCGGAGGGGTCCACAGAGGGGTCAGTCAGCAGTGGAGACTGATCCTCTGAATGCGAGAAGACCCCCAGAAATGAATCGTCTTCCACCTACTATTGCAGAGCAGTTCAGGGAGTCTTGGCTGACAACTATTATTGGGTCTATTTTATTCGCCACTGGAATGTGCCTTCTCTTCTGGAATGAGGTCTATCGTCTTTACATTCTGCAAGATTAAATATAGTCGATTTTGGAGATGTTGAGAAGATTAACCCTCCGTTGCTGATTTTAGCGCAAGTTTTTCAATCGCTTTTTTTTAAGAACATAAACATTCACCCAAAAAAACGAACTTTCTTTTGAAACTTATTATCTCAAATTGAGACTTGTGAAAGTCTCGAATTGAGAATTTGATTAAAAAAAGTCAAGTTCGCGTATTTTCAACTTGAGGCATTCAAAAGTCTCAATTTCAGTCTGGGAAAGTCTCAAAGTGAGACTTGAAATTCTTAACTTACGATGTTTAGGCTTCAAATGGAGGCTTTTGAAAATATTATTTTGAGATTTCAAAGGTTTTAACTTGAGACTGTCAGAAGTCTCATCTTGAGACTTTCGGAAGTTCCAATTTGGGGCTTAAAAATCTCAATCTTATTTTGTCATAATTTGAGACTTTCAAATGGCAACTTGATTGTCCCCTGCTCCAACGAAGACTTTGGAATTGCTTCGCGAAATTGAATGCACCCTTAATGAATATTGAGAATATTCCATTCATAGGCAATTCTGCAAATATCCCGCCCACTATCTCTTTTTTTTATTATTAAATTTTCACGTTTTTAATTTTTTGCAGGGGAGGGCAGCATCGGTGGCTAGATCCCTGGACGAAGCTCTGGAGAACGTAGCCACGATCACAGACCTGAAGACTATTCCAAAAGAATACGAAGGGAAATTGGTCCATCTCTCAGGAGCAATCTGGACCTCTGAACCTCTCACCGAGCCTGATTATGGAGTCGTTGTTGAGGGGATTAAATTAAAAAGAAGAGTTCAAGTTTATCAGTGGGTGGAGATCGAGGAAGAGAGAACGTAAGTTGAAAAAAAAAATTCAAGGATCAAAATAAACGCGTTTTCATTGGATGAAATGAATAATTCAGTAGCGAAGCGGTAAAACGGTTTAAATCGATTTTGACTATTTGTCAGTTTTCAATAAATATCTCAGAATCTAAGGGAGATGGCAAAATTTTCGATCTTACCTTTTCAATAGTACTCAATTCGCTCTACAAAAAATGTCATCACAAAAATTTCGTTATCTCCCTTAGATTCGGAGATATTCCTCAAAAACTCAGATGAGCGCTAAGTTCACTTAAACCGTTTTACCGCTTCTCTACTGAATTGATTCATTCTAAATAAATCCGTTAATAAAATCAAATAAATGATTCATTTGACCCAAATAAACGATTATCACACTATTACTTGGTTTCTAACTAATGAAGTCTTTGTGTGGATCAAGGCAACATTCATTTATACTGAACAATGGAAAAGTGTGAATGAAGATGCAAATAAAAATTCAGTTTAAACTTGAATAAAACCCATTCATTTGATTCAAATAAACATACACTGAGAGAAAAACAGACACGTTGTCAAACAAGTCTTGTTTGGGCCAACAAAATCGCTAGTTGAAAATTGCCAAAAATGAATTTGTTTGGTTCGAATTTGAAAGTCTCAAACATGAATAATTGTTCTGCTATCGACAGCAACGAAATATTTGGCTCAAGAGGCGGATAATTCACACCAGACGGTGCCTTTTCAGGATGAAAATATCTCATACAGAGGAAAATTTATCAACAAATATTTTATCCCTAAGTTACAAGATTGCTATCATATCATTATTATTGTTTCATTTAAGGGTTCATTTGTTGTCTGTGATTATTAGACAGCCGAAACGAAAAACTACTATCCCTCGTTCCGCATAAAACAAAGATTTTACGGGAGCAAAATACGTATGGGAGTATCGAATAACGAAGGAGTAGTGCTAGAAATGACATTTCTTGCATGTACAGAGAGTGCAATTTTTTTTAAACTACTAAATCTATTTTCGCGACAAAAATTTTTCATTCCGGCGCACTCTCTGCATGTTTGGCACAAAGAATCCTTTTTTGATAATTTCCAAAAAAATATTTTCTTGGCACAAGTAAGACTTGTTTGAGAACTTTGTCGTTTTTCTCTCAGTGTAGGTGTAACAACCTCTCAACAATTCTCATCCCCACGATTTTTTTCATGTAGTTACGCCGGTGAAGTCCAAGAGGACAAAAACTACTACTACACAACGGAATGGCGCGACAAGCTGATCGACTCCGACTCCTTCTACATCCGCACTGGCCACGAGAACCCTAAAGAAGTCCCCATAAAGAGTCAAGTCCAGATAGCGGACGAAGCAGGCATAGGTGGGATAAAATTGGGCTTGGACCTCAAGAAGAAGTTCACCGACTTCATTGAGATCACCAGCGACCAGAGGCCTGAGCGCAGGGACATAAAAATGCACTCTGGTCTCTACTATCACGCAGCAGACCTCTGGAATCCACGAGTCGGTGACTTGAGGATTTTATTCTCCTACGCTGGGAAGGTTGGCGAGATTTTTTCAGTCGTTGGCAAGTTGGAGAAGGGAACTATTGTTCCTTATGTCACGTCCAGGGGGGAGGAGATCCTTCTGCAGAGGAAACACAGACTCACGGTGGACAGAATGTTTCATCTGGAGCATGTAAATAATTATTGGCGCACGTGGACCATCAGGTAATAAAACAAGTGTTTAGACCCTATTCAAGTATTTTTTCTCCGATGAAATGATTTTATTAAATGATTTTATTATTTAAACTTTGCTCGACATTGAACTGTTTGAAAACATTTTAGAAATCTAAAAAAAATAGAAAGTTTACTTTTGAAGAAAGATTGATGAAATAACTTGGAAATTGTCATTTTTGAAAATTACGAACATTTTCTATAAATAATTTATAAACAATCAATTTTCCACTGCAAAAATCACTTGTTCGGAATCGTAACAATTTATTCATTCTCAGAATTTCATCAGAGATCGCATTCATGTCTAAAAAAATAGTAATTCTATGCAAAATGTAATTTGCTTGAAAATAATTGAATCTACAGTTTCATCTGCACCAAACTATAAAAAATACTCGGACATGATTAATTAATTTACTCATTTTCTTGTTTCAGGGGTCTAGGTTGGCTAGTCCTGTTCGTAGCCGCCAGCTGTCTCGCCAACATCTTAACAACAATAATCCAAAACTCCTCGTTCCTCTGTGGAATAATAGCCATTGATTCACTGACAATGTCAGTCTCCATGTCGATCAGTCTTCTAGTCATTGGATTCGCCTGGGTGTGGTACAGGCCGATCGTAGCTCTCTGCCTGGCTTTTGCAGCAATGGTTCCTTTCATCTATTCGACGTTCACATCGTGTAATAGGCAAAATCAACACAGGGATCAGTACAGAAGATTCTGATCCCTGTTCTTCCGTGTTTGGACAACGAACGTACAATGTATTTATAGAATTAGTGGTAATAAAGGTTGATTTTTATGTCTTTGATGATATTTTCGGCAAGCGTGGGTGATCAATATGGCTTGTAGATATAAAAAAAAAAAAATTCTAAAAGTTTTTTGCGGGAAATTTACTTTTCCTCGATTGAGGGATTGAGGGAGTTCCCGGAAACATTCTCCAGTAGAAGTTGTTTGGTTTTTTTGGATATTTCATGTTCAGAAATTTTTTTTTCACGAAGATCAAGGGTCAGATCTTGGATTTTTCCAGGGGGAAAGTCGACTTTCGACAAAATCGAATTTTTTCGCCGAGTGAACGTTAATTCTGTATTTACTAACGACTCTGATGCTAATGAAACACCCGAGGGCTCCAGAAATGTCGAAATAAAATTTTTTTTTTTCACCCGGGGCCAAAGTGTCAGATCTTGGATTTTTCCCGGAGAAAAGTCGACTTTCTCCAAAATCGGATTTCTCCACCAAGTGAATGTTGACTCTTAATTAGTACCTCGTTAGTTTTTTAAAATTACTAATCAATTGAGTAATCCTTAAATACTGAAAAATGCATTACATTCATCTGCTGACGAATTACCAGTGATTTACCATCGTCATTCGTTTATAAATAATTGTTTCCGGCTGACAACCTATTGCTCTAGTTCAGTTTGCAATTCGTTTGAAATGAGAATAATTCCGCCATCTCTCAACGTGCCGCTGCACTAGAAAATTCGAATGGTAAGACTTTTTCTCTGAAAATCTGTCAGATGGCCCTGCGGTCAAACTTTCCCGCCCTGTTGTCTTGCTTGTTGCAGTCTCCAATTGCCTCACCCCCCCCCCCCCCCANGTCTCCAATTGCCTCCCCCCCCCCCCCAAGCTGCCGTACTCGTAACCCTCGCCGGGCTTCAAAACAATAATATGCTAATGCAATGAATTATTATGATTGGGGATGAATAAAATGCACAAATGCGTTTCATTTTTCTTGCGCAAGCGAAATGTCATTTGAAGACTAAAGAAAATGCCAACTTACAGCGATTTTCACACGAAAATCTTGGTACTCTAACGGAGAAAAATTACTGAGGTGGTCAAGTAATTGAGGAGCGAACTCGATTTTCAGTTATTTTTCTTCCTATATCGGGACGAATAGTAAATTTTTGCACACCGCCGCACGGAAAATTTATACTTTCCTCCCGCTCATCAAAGAGCAAAATACGAATTTTCCTTTGCAGGCGTGTTAAAAAATCGTTTATGCCGCTAGGGACGGAAAACCGCGATTCTAACCTCGCTTCGCTCGGTTAAATCGCGGTTTTCAGTCCTCGAGGCATAAAATATCGTGTGCCACACGGCAGTAAAAGTATTTTCTGACTCATATAACGTCACATTCGTCAGAAAATACTTTTACTCCCGAGGGGCACAATATACTAATGTGCACCTCGGACGGAAAGTCTTGACTTTCCGCACTTGATGCACAATATACTATTTTCTCCGTTGGGCCGGGAAAATTTACTGAACGTGAGGGTAGTTTATGCCGAAACTGTAAAATTTACGTAGCATTCCATCAAAAATTATCAAACTGAACGTGAAGGATTACTCAATATTTCGTATGATTTTTCTGTAACGGAGAATGAGTTTTCACCGAACGCATTCCGTAAAATTTCACTTCCATTCGTCCCCATGACCTTCAGATGCAAAAAAAAAATATCCTAGCTGTGCTGGGAGTTTTTACACTACAGGAGGATAATTTTGCATCCGTGGATATATTTTCTCCTCAAACAGGTATTTTTATATTCACAAAAAAAAATGAAAAACCGGTTATATTATTGGGGTTCGCGACGGGGACGCGGCTGGTATGAACCCCACAATGCCCCAACACGGAGAGAAATGTTCAGTAAAAATGACGGAACTCATAACTCGCTCACCGATTGCGGAATCAGAAAAATTGCGGAATCCAAAAATTGTATCGCAATTTTTCACAGGAAATGTAGATAAAAATTACGGATCGCTCTGGAAAAATTCCGTGACAGTTCCGTAAAGTTTCCTATAAGCACATTTCGCTCCGGAATTACGGAAAAGATACGTAATTTTTATTGAATATTTCTCTCCGTGAATAATATAAACGATTTTTTTTTTTTTCGCAATTTTCTAAGTAATTTTTACCTAACTTTTCTCTCCGTGTAGTTTTATCCACTACCATACCTTAGGTCCGTCTGAACCGCCTGTCACCATGTTCAGAATTTTCTGCAGTTTTCCGGAGACTGCGAATGCGGTGGTTAGACAAGGCTAGATGGTGGCAGTCGCAAGGCTGGGGGACTGGTACATTAAGGGTGCCAAGTGAATTTGAAAAAAGATTCAAAAAAAAATTTTTCTTTCCCTCCATCATTGGAGAAATATGTATTCATCCATCTGACGAAATTTCAAACCCGCAACCGGAACTAGACATCGAGAAAATAAATGCGAAAAATCCTCTATTTCGTGTGACGAACCTCGAGAAAGCATGGGATCAAATGGGTACGGCGGGTTGAAAAATCTCTCTTATTCACCCCGGTACCCCATTGATTTTGTCGCCATCACATTGAACACATCATTCCCCATATCTTCAAATTTTTTCAAATTTTTCTTGAGTTCCTAGGGGGTTGAAACGTTCAATTTAATCAAAACTCCATAAGAGGCCGTGTATAAGACTGATTTTGTTTATTTAATTTCTCGATATCCATAAGTTCTAAAATTTTAAAATTGTCACCGATGTTCACCATCTGTCTAATACTATTAATTAAAAAAATTATAACTTTGTTGGTGAATGTCAATTTTCAAGGTCATCGCCAAATTCACTTGGCACCCTTCACTGTTCCTGCATTGGGGGAACGCAACTGTCATCTAGGACAGAATGGACACTGACTATTATAGACTCTCTATACTACAGAGTCTATAGAAAGAGATTTGAGAGGAACCTGCGCCGACCCCTGTACGAGAATGAAAACGGGGGTGTTAATGAACGATAAAGAAAAATATCATACTGACTAAAATCTAGCAGTCAATGAATATGTGAAAGACGACTGAAGGGGTAATTAGCATGTTCGCGTAAACAGGAAACGAGTAATAAAACTAAAATTGTGGCATGACGCATTTCGGAGACTCTAACGAATTTCGTCATTGAGTATTCGAAATTTAATTAAAAATCAACGGAAATAGCAACTTCCATTACAATTATTCCACAGAAATTAATGGAAATAAGAAATCTCGATCGATAGGAGCACGGGAATTAAACTCATGAAAAATCAATTTTGTTTTGCCGATAAGAAAATTTTTATTTCAAGACTGGGACTTTTCCAGCCTCTGGAAATGAGTTTTCAAAATATTTTAGATGCTCCCAACTTTCCAAAATTATTCCCCCAACCACTTTCTAAATTATGCCAGCTATTGTCTCCTCGAATAGCTGCACTGGGCCCATTTTTCGAGAGGTAATTTCAACCTCGAGCCCCCGAAATTCATATTTTTTTGTCATGTAAAAATCTATTCAACAAAATTTCGTGAAAAGTGCTCATCGCCCTGCAGTTTTTCGACGGCCCTGCCCTGAAAACGCACCAGGCATATCGAGAAAACGAATTGGAGTCAGCGGAAAAGTGGAGGGGGTGAGCCCCGGCAACACATGTCGTGCATGCGTGAGACAGCAACGCAGTCATACATTCCAAGGGATCGTGAGGGTGAGAAGGGTGACGTGCGGCGAGTGTGAGGGAGAGAGAGTGAGCGAGAGGGAGGGGGACCGGTTTGCGACGTGGCTGAAACTAACGTTTCGTCTAGCACAGATAAGTCCCCCACATGTCTAGGCTCCTCTGTTTCCACGTATTTTCGACTCACTATTTTCTATGAGCTCTATTCGGACTTTTGGCCTTTTTTCCCTCGGACTTTTTTTTGTGTAGGCCCCTTTGGGTCGTCGTCTACCCCTACTTCAGCCGTTTTTTTTATTGCACAACCGGTCCCATGAATGCCCGCAGCCGAGGAAAACTGGGTTTACTGCGCTTTTGGTGGAAATATTGTCTATTTAAGGGGTAACGGAAGCGGTCGCAAAAGTCGGTTTTTTTCATTTAATTTTTTTCCGATTCTATCCCATATGAATGGCTGAAATTTTGACCAATATTAAAAGGAGGTTAAAGAAGGGCTTAACCCTAGTTGGTCACCATATGAGAACTTGCGACTTGGTCACCTTCGCAGGGAATCGCCGCCGTGTTATTTAGGCCCGAGCGTTGCCGAATTCACTCTATCCTGCCCGGGCGCGTTTAGCGACACTTCGGCAACGTCGCACAACGGGCAATTTCATTTAACATGGGAAAAAATTGACCGTCTGTTAGAAATAATTTTTTTTCTTCAGGACTTGTCGATATAAATAATTTTAAAAAATATTATAATTTTCTAGACACTTGAATTGACGCATTCCAATTTTTTAGGATTTTTCCGCTCAGCCAGTCAATGGTAAGAAAAAAAAATCGACCTTCTGCGGCGTTTCCCTCCTATGGTGACCAACTAGGGTTAATGGGTTCTATTGAATATTTATTGGCAAAAAAAATTTTTTATGCAAACATTTTTTCGATCCTGCAATCACAAGAAACTTTTGGAGGGAATATTAAATTAGTAATTTATTAATTTGGAGAAATTAATAAATTCTTTCACACGTCCAGATCAATTTACGCGACAATTTACGGACATTCAAAGGACAATTGAACTATTACAATCATCGTAGCATTCCCCCACCGGCTCGAGGCGATGTAAAATAACGATTAAAAAAAGTGTGATGTTAATAATGGAGATTGAATTATCAAAATGCATTTCCCTATGTCGTTTTTTATCTCATCATTGACTAGTTCAGTTCGTCAATGATGATACAATCGTGAATAGCCCGACATTTTCGAGCACCCGAGCCTCCAAAATTCATGGAAACGAATGCAGTGAGTGGGAAAATCCCTTGTCCCGAGGAGAGTTCATCGAGACAGATCCACGCAGCCACCGAACTCTCGGCATTGTATTGAGGCAGGTAGAGGACAGTATCGATAGTCTAAT